AGCACTTAGTTTCACTGAATTTTATGTATGCAAGTTTTCCAACATAATCTATTCCTGTGAGATTTTTGCTCTGAAGCTTTGATCACTACTTGGGATTAGGGCTGTACCTTCTTTTTGGAAAAAAAAATCCTTAAAGTTGATTATGTTTTGGTTTAAGTCTAGCAAAGTCACTTTCAAATATGCTATCCAAGTAATTGTTTTTGTTATGTTTCTCTATGTAGTAGATTCCCCTATCTTTATCAGTTTAATCTACCTTACTGAGGGTGTGAAATAATGGCTTTCTTCTTTTACTGGCATAGTTTTTGTTATAAAACAGAAGTCAAGACTTTTGTATATTCTTACTTTTTAAATATTTCTTTGCAAATAGCATTTCTTTGCCAATAGTATGGAACAAGCTCTCCAGGGAAGTGGTCACAGCACCAAGTTCAAGAAGTATTTGAACAGTGCTCTCAGGCACATGGTGTGACTTTTTGGAGTATCCTTTGTAGGATCAGGATTTGGACTCGATGATCCCTGTGGGTCATTTCCATCTCAGGATACTTTATGATTATCTGAAATCTTTGTCCTTTTCCTCATCTACAGAAAACAATTCATCACATCTATGTAGGATATCCATTACACATCTGTAGATGACTTATTGATACATCCTAGGATATTTTTAGAACAATTAGCTTTATACTTCACTGAATTACTCTTTTTGCAATCCTGTTATCGGTAAAATGTTAAAATTTTGATGCTAAGTATCTGCAGCACTAGGGGGCAAATCTAACACCATCATTAGTATCCTTTTCCCCTTCAAGAAACTTAGAAAATGAGTATGCTTACAGAGCTGTAAAATACTCAGATCTGCTAAATTTCAATTGCCTTTGACTCTAGAAGGCAGATTTTCTGTCAGAGCTCCCAGACTGCAAAGTAAAATTCCAGTTAGAAAATATGCTTATATAGTAATGCAATTATCTTGAATATTTCCAACAGTAAGTTCCAATTTCTGGTGCGCAGGAGGTATTTCTTGCTGTAGGTGTATTGATTTTTCTCAATTTTCAGGTATATTAATGTTTAATATACCTGAATTTAAATTTGACGCTTCAAACAAGAAGTCTGAACTGCCAGAAATGTCTGTATTGTATGGCCAGCAAATGTAGCTCAGTTCTTTTCTGAATGACATGAACTCATGAATAAATTCTGGTTTAGACTGACCAAGTCTTTGGTGGTGTGCTGTGGGCATCATAGAACAAATATGAACATAGAAACTGCCACATGCTCTAGCAGTCCTGTCTTAGTTGACTCCTCGTAGTATTGATGACCTTTTTTCCCAATTGCCACCTATTTTTAGAGACTCAGTTGTAAGAATATATTCCATAAATTGTTTATTGATGGTGTAGTGCAACACTGGAGTGTGGTGCAGAAGTATTTATTTACTTGACTGCAACATAAAAGGATAATTTAAATTATGATCAGTGTAAACAAGGCCACATATTTTATACCAAGAATGATATCCCAAGTAACTCCCTACTTTTTACAATGTCGTGAAGAAAGGTATTTCTTTGTTATTAAGAAAACTTTAAGATATTTATGAAGCTTTACTCTGCATGTCTCAAGGATTTGAAAGATAATCCTGTTTAATTAAGGCTTTACCTTAATTCCATTTGTGTTGGACTTTGAAAGTATAGCAAACTTCAGAAATTATCAGACTCTGTGGACACAGTCTTTATGTTCAACTTAAGTAAATATCTTTGTTTTACTTTAAGGCAGGTGCCAACCTTCTGCTTTAGAGTCAGACAGATTAATTTTCTTGTCATTCTCCAATACTACCTCTCTATTCTCAACATCCTGATCTTCTAAGTTCTGCCAACTTGCTTCCAGTCTTGTGCAAGTTAAACAGACAGGAATATGGTGGCTTACTGAAAGTCCTGGAGCTGGTTGAGAGATCTGGGTGATAGGAAGGCACAAACAGCCAGGTTCTTCTGGGAGAAGGACTAGTTGGCCTAAAGGTTAGACAGAGAATTATTCTCAGTGGGTCCCATGTTGTTTCAAGAGCTGGAATTATTAATAAGGAGTCGTGGCACTCACTACCAAGGAATGTGCAAGGTCTAACATGTAGATCCTGAGGTCAGAAAGCAGCTAGATCACCTCTTCAGATATGTGCCCCAAGTAATTAACTGTGGGAGGTATCTATTCACCCACCATTCAAGCTTCATTAATAGTATGTATGGAAATGGGACTTGTTGCTTTCCATGATGCAGAACTAAAAATTGTTGGAAATCCTGCACTACAAAAGAGGTTTGAATGAGGAGGTCAGGTTTCTACTGATCTGAACTAAACATCATTGGAATTAGATCTTAAAACACTAAAAGGAGGCAATAAGGTCTCTACTCTTCTTCTTTTAAAAGAGAACAGTAGGAAAATATTGCTGGCTAAAAAAAGTTATTAGTACAAATAGAAAGGGAAGAAGGCACTTAAGTCCATTTCTCAATGGTATTTAAATATCTAGTTCGCACTAAAATTCTGTGAGCGTCATGCACTAATATAAAATACTGAAAAGGATACGGACAATATTTTTAAAATTAGATTTTTTTATGTTCCTTCTTCCTAAGACTTTCTGTAGAATGTAAATTTTTTAAACTTTTATCCTCAGTCTATAGCACCCAGAAGACTAATATTTTCTCATGCTTTTATATGCTTCTGGGCAAGCAAAAAACACCTCAAAATTATGCCTGAGCTTATTATTATTTTTTTTTTTTTCAGCTAGAAAACTGTAACATGTTGCAGATTATTTTTCAACTACAGAACAATATCCACAAAAATTAAATTCTTTTATAGGAAGATAAGAGCAACTAGTACAGTGAATACCTGTAACTGACTTTGTGTTATCTGTTTTTCTACTCCCTTCATAATATGACTTATTTAAAAAAAAAATATTTTTTTTTTTTGGGAGAGGAACAAAAAGAATTGTGCTAATGCATTTTCTCAAAACACAGTGAAAATACATTCACATTTGTCTTCTGGAAATAAGTGTTGCTGAAACCCTTTCACAGAAAATTTAAGGTTTGATTTTGTCTTGAGCCTCCATTCTTTGGAGTATTTTGAATTAAAAAAATAATAATGTGACAGATTGTGAGAGTCTGTAATCAACAGGTCAGAAAGCCACCTGGAATAACAAGGTTTAGAGTTGACATAAACACTGTTTTGTTAGATAAAGAGAACTTTCTGAGAGGAGAATCCAGCTTGATCTTTTTTATTATTACTGATCTTTTGATAGCCAATAGGAAACGTTCTTACAGTTTTAAAAGCTGAAAGAAACAGCAAATAATTTTTGTTGTACTTTAATGGATTGCCTGTAATACCCAAATTGCCCTTAGCAAATTTCACTCATTTCACCTTACTATTCATTTTAATAGCAAAAGATAAGGTATGGTACAGACTTGGCTAAATGTCGACAGTGCTTTTCTTGATTTTTTCACTGTATTCTTCTGTTCCTATATATTTCACACTTGATTAGAACAAAGGCTCAGATTATGAATCATTAAAAATTGCTCTGGATTATCACCTTCCAATAGCAACTCGTTGGAGTTGAGCAGGTGAAATAAAAGGATCTATGAAGTGGCTTTTATTTATTTGCTTCATAAAACATAATCTTTATTAGGATGAACCAGTCAGTTTGTAGCAGAATGAGCAATGAATGCAAGAGTTCTCAGTACAAATGAAGCTGAAATTGTGGGGCCATGGAGTTTCCATCCCTGCAAATAAATGACATCAATACATGTAATGTTTAATCACACATGACATTAAATTGACAAGATAAAGATTTGAAGATATCAAAAGGTCTCTCCTACATTCAGTACTGCTCCCACAAATAGATAATTTCTCTGCACACACAAAATCTTCCATTGTTTTTTCTGGCCAGCAGAAGAGTAGGGAAGGGAACGTAAATAAAACAAACTTCAAGCTGATTACAGCTGATTATAGGGTATTGAGAAGGGCACTGAGGAAGTTCTTTTGAATTCTCAGCAATGTCCTGAGTCTGTTAGTTCCTCTCTGTCCCTCTCTCACGTACTTTCATATTCATTATTCCTACCCAGAATTCACTGTGTGATATGACTGAATTTTTAATTAACCTTTTGCCCTTTTCCCACTGCTGTATGTCTTCAGGGAAGACTTCTGGGAGCTTCTTCTGGTCAGGATAGAAGACTAGAAATGCACAGGTCCAAGTAGTAGAGACAAAGCAAAACCACTTATCAAATATATTGCTTAATTTAGCTTGATTCTGTTTATGCAGGAAAAATGAATGTCTGGCCCTAAATTCTATGAATACACTTCTATGTAAAGTTGAGTTATGGTACATATTTAATGACAATATGAATGTTGGATCTATTTTATTCTCCACAGCAAAACAGTTATGGTAGTTGTAATTCTTAAAGAGGCATCAGTTTGTTGTACTGTGTTTATTCTCTAACAGAACCTAATGACAATGAAGTCATTAAGCCCACATAAAATCCCTCAAGCACAGTCTTTGTCATTTGTTATTATTTCTTCTAATGCTTTGCAATGTGTGATGAAATGGTTTGAAATAACACAAAAGAGGGCTCTGAATTATCTAAAACTGTCTAATATAGTTGTGGCTTGGTATTTTAAAACTACCTCTTGAATCACTGGAGACATTAAATGGGGTGCAAATGCATTTCATGTGCCTATAATTCTCATTCAGAAGATGTTAGAAGTAAAGCAGAGATGGTTTGGTAACTGCTTAGGAGCCTGAAGGATAAAGGAGAAGATATTTTCTTGCATTATTTATGAAGTGTGAAATTGGAGAGAAAATCTTACTCGGCAAGAAGGAATTTATAGAGTATTTTTAAATTGCAGTAAGAAAGTGCTTTTGAAATGAAATGCTGATGCTCTACAGGAGATTCTTTTTTAATGGAAAGAATATGATTTTCTGAATCTGTTTTGGTTTTGTTCTTAAGTCATTTAATTACATCCGGATTTTATGTTCTGTTCCACAGAGTAAATTTCTCAAGGCCTCTAATTGCTGAGTGGAATGACTGCTATGTGGCACGAAGAAATGGGCACGTTACATTTTCAGGCTGCTGATTTGCAAGTAAGATCATGAAAGAAATGCATGCTTTTAGCACCATGCTTCTTAAAATCTGCGTCCCCTCACTGTACTTTTCAAGTGCATGATATCGATTTCTTTTTTGGTTGTGTATGCCCTGCCCTCAAGAAAAAACAACTGAACCAGCAAACCTCTCAATTACTCTGCCAGTTGCACCCCAGTTTCTTCTACAGATTTGCCAATGTGTGTGGCATGGGTCACAGCTGATAAAAGACTGTTGTGTCATGCTGCCTCTGAGCAGGGAGCCATGATTTTGTTTAAAGCTGTAGAAACTGCTCAGGCTGCCACTCTGCCGAATCCTAAAATCAAAGAGGAACGCAGGTGGTGTGTGTGCATGTGTGTGCAGGTGGGATGTGGAAAATAGTGAAAATAAGGCTAAATGTCTGAGGGTGCTTTCTTGTACACAGTCCTTGTTAACAGGTGGTGTTTCTTCAGATATAGTATTCAATTTTAGATAAAAAAATGAAGATGAATTGATTTGATCTATTTATTTTGCTAACACTTTCTGAATATTATCATGAATGTACAATTCAGACATCACGACAAAATGGTCTGCAACAAAAAAACAGAAATCAAGAATTCGTTCGTATTATCTTGTCAAATTTCTCCTTCATCCTGAAGATTAAAAAAAAAAAAAAAAGCAAAATACTTGGGACTTTGATCTTGGCATTCTGCTTCCTGTACCTTCTCACATTTTGGTTTTTTTTGAAGGTAGTATATTATCTATGCCTTAAGAAATATTTCAGGATGACTCATGTTTTCATGTGTTATTGAATTATTTTTTTTTTGTCCAGTGGTATCCAGTATTTTTGCTGTGAAATGTATAATTTTAGTAGGCTTGGTATTATTTTATTACTTTTAATCAGGATTTTTTGACAATTAATGTTGGTTTCCTCTAATACCCAAGAAGTAATTTCTGTTAATGGGAGAATTTGTTGAAGCCTTGGGTCTAATTTCAGCACCAATTGTAAAAATGGTGTCAAAGCATAGACCTAAAGCAAGGAAGCCGAAGGATGGAAGTTTAAAGTTTGATATGATAGAAAAAATTGCAAGAGCACCTTTCACATGTGTCACAGCATAGTGTTTCTTTCCCTTTTTCTGTGCTGTCACCTCTAAAAAAGTGACATTTAGTATTGAGCACCACAGTTTATGAAGTACCATACTTCACTGGGGGGTTTTGTACTTTTTTTCTTTCTTCTCTTAATTTTTATTGAAATAATTTACTTTTGCTGGCCTATAAAACTTGCACAAATCCAAGGAACAGAGGCAAAAAAAAAGTATTTATTTGCATTGTGACAAACTTAGAGACCTCCCTTACCCAAAGAAGTGATGAGAGATTGGATCTTTTTGGATGGCAAAGCACTCTGTTGAGAAAATTGTGTGATAATATTTACACTGACAACTTGCTTCCTGAAGAGCCAAGGGACTGCAAAATCTCTCATGTACTCAGGTGTCACGTATTTCCCAGCTTAAAAACAGGTTTTCCTGGATTTAAAAATGACTGCTGACAGAGGTGTGGAGGAATTTGTTTTGGCAAGGCACAGCAGTCACCAATTTATTTACTACTGGAGCTAATAAATGTAAATTTATTTTACGGAAAGAAAAGGAACCCTCTAGCAAAAAAAAATTATGTGACACTACTTGTTTTGTAACTGAGGCAAGAAATAATTTTTCAGTGTATATACCACAATTATTTTGAATTCTTCTGAACGATTTTCAAACATTTCAGAAAATATGGACTATTACAAAAGAAGGTTGGGACATTTCTAAAATGAGATGTTATTTTCCAGGTGTCATGACACAATGGAATTCTGTACAGAGAGGGGAATTTTAAGGAATTGATTTTTATTTGATGGCAGTCTATATCCAGAAGGCTTTCATATTAAATATAATGTTTAAAAAAATTACTTTGAAATAACTGTAAATGTTATATCTGTAGTAAATACAGATATGTGGATCTATAGAAACACAGACAAGTACCTGAATACTCACTCAGATGAAACAGCAAAGTGTCATCATATAAAGTATCATATGGATAATGTTTTTGTATTTTTGTCAGATAATATTTCCTGGTCAATGTGAGGTCTGTACAATATTGTCAGTTATGCCTTATTTTCTTAATGTAAAATAATCTTAATTTGTCATCTAGCAGGGCTGTTCAGGAAAACTTTCCAAGTGACACATATTTAAATGATTTTATAACTTTCTTGTTCATTTTAAATACTGAGGTTATTTACGCCCCTTCTCAAGCTATTGGATTCAATGTTTATAAGGTTTAGACAACCATTGGAGAATTCTAAGACTGCAAATTCTTCATGAAAATGTAAGCTGTTATCTTTATTACTTCTTAATTAAATGATGATTTGTTAATAGAAGAAAATGATTAATGCTTTCTCAGAGGACTGAAAATAGGCTCTATCCACTTATTCTGAATTTAGTCACTATAGGGGACGTAAATTTAAAAATCAACACTTCTAAATGGATTTCTATTACTTGGGCAAAACTGAAAAGGTGCAATTATACTTTTTTATTAGTAATACAATAGACATATGTGAATTTTAAGTTGACAAAAACCTTTGTAAACCTTGGATATGTTATCCTGCAGCCTTATCAGAACCATGCCAAAAAAAAAAAAAAAAAAAGGAAAATTTTTTTTTTTAATAACATAATATTGGAAGATCTTTCCCTTTACTCCTACTTACTTTTAAGCTCAGGGTGGTGACACCTCAGATCCATACGGTCCAAGTACCATCCTAAGACTCACAATGCTGTGTTTGTTGGTGAAAGGTTGCATTCCAGCTGGAGGAGAACTTATCTTGAGAATAAAGCCGCTTTAGTGGCATTTTGGTTTTGAAAGTTCCATGTACACCGTGTAAAACTTTTTGATATGTATGGGAGCTGGCCAGCCCAGAATGATCATGGAGGGTCCCATGATGCCCCCCCTGTGGTGCTGCCCACTGATCCAGAGACATTTGCTGTCAGTGTGTCCATCCTGCACAGGCAGTAAATTGCCTCGTCTAGGAACAGACACAAACACACACCGAGCCTGCTGAGGTCTGGGGTGCTGTGGTGGAAGGTCTTGAAGTCAGGCCAGAAGAGCCTCTAGTCTGTTCTTTCAATGGCTTAAGGGACGTATTTGATGCAGCATTTCTTAAATTCAGCTTGTCTGGGCCCCTGAGGAATCTTCCCACTCAGATTCAATCTGACCTATGCAGTACATGAAATATGATCACATGACAATGTACTGTGATACTGGCTTACCTTCCATGACTTAAATACGTGTTTTAGTATGAGCACAACTGAATTCAGGATATACCCCAAAATCCCTTAGCATTGCCAAGATCTGTTTACCTGACTATGAACATATTTGAGGGTCAAATGTTACATCTGTCATACCTATTTCAGTTTCAGATGAAAAGAAAATTCTGACATTAGCAGGAAGACAATAGCTTTAATAGAGGTTGCTAAAGAATCTCTGTAAAATTCATGAACTGGAATAAACCTTTGGAGAGTCTGAGAATTTTTTTTAATTAACTGTAGTCTAAATTTTTACTATGTGAAAATGATCTAGTCAGCCTTTAGATAACAATGATAATTTTGTACCTTGATTTTTCTCTTTTATCTACTCATAAATAATTTTTTTCTAATTTTCTTTAGGTTGTAGCTTTTTATTTCCCAGATACTTTCTTGGTGAACCATTTTGTAACATATGCCAAGTTTGTGAGGTGAAAATATAAGAAGTGTTTTTTTTTTCATTTCAGTTAAAGGCATGACTTTGATTTTTACCATAAGTTTCATATTTTCCAGTTCAAAACAGAAAGCTTATCAAAGAATCAATGGCACCAAGAAAAGGTGCTACTCAGTTTACCTCAGCTGCTTGATACTATCATTACTATGATTTTAAAGTATTTGACATTTCCTTTACAGCTGTGTCATAGCTTTAGCTTTGCAGATCCAACAAAGTCTGCAAATGTACACTGAGGCTTAGTTCTGACTATCTCAAAGTCTTCATTTTAACAGTGATTATGCAATATTTTTTTAATGTGGGTTAATACATACAACTGCATAGAAAATAAAGTTCAATATATGTGCAAAAGGCCTTTAACAATGTTTATAAGAGCTATTTTAAAATGAGATTCAATGTGATAAGCACGGGAGAGAAGGGGAAAAAATGTTAATATGAACACCTCATGGCTAAAAAGGATAATATTATGAATAAATATTGTGAAATATTTATGATTCAAAAATCATGGGAACTTTTAATTTGAAAACAAACCTGGTACAGCTCCCAGCTCTCAATTTATGAAAGCTCTGTGAGATTGGAATTTAAAGGTAGTGAAAACATATTAAGGATCTTCCCTTCCTGACTGCCTCCATCTTTCAGTTTATGTGTGCAACACAATGTTTATTTTTTTCCCCCAGGTCATCAGTGAAATGGGGAATCTAATTTCACTGGAATGTGTTCCGAGACTTCCATGCAATACTATGAAATGGATATATATGTTATCATGGGGCTTCCATCATGTCCTAAGGTGGACTTCTGACAGGTTTCTATTGCATATTCTACTCTTGCTTCATGTTTGAAATTTCTAGGAATCTGTACACTCACACGAAAACCTTTTGCCCTAAATGTTATGTTTCTGAATTTAAGTAAATAATGATAAAGGAGACTAAAATTGAAAGTTAATTTAGTTCAATACAACAGCAGAATATACAGAGATATTTCTCTGTCACTGTTGCAATATTTTACTAAAGCTGAACCATGTGCATTTGAAGCACAGATTTATGTCACTTAAAATATATTCCCAAACAGGTGAGAGAAACATCAAGGGAAGATTAAATAAATGTGCAAGTAAGTGTCTAGGTGTTAGTGTTGGGTTTCCCTTTCTCCCTCCTTTCTCCCTCCTTTCTCCCTCCTTTCTCCCTCCTTTCTCCCTCCTTTCTCCCTCCTTTCTCCCTCCTTTCTCCCTCCTTTCTCCCTCCTTTCTTCTCCCTCCTCTCTTTTTCTTTCTTGCTCTCTTGCTCTCACCCTCTAGAGCTGTGCTGATTGCTTAATTTCAATATCAAGTGGAAACTCAGGGAACTGGAAATTGGTGGGAAATAATGAATACAATCTTAAATATTTCTGTACTTTTATTCCTAGGAAATCAAACTAGTAATCAAAACTAGCTAAAAGATTTTTAACACAGTGAAAATGTCATGGGGGTCTAAAATGGGTCTGCAGATGTAGAGGGTATTAAGACTGCAGTGGCCAACCAATTACTTTTGAAACACTATTTCTTTGGATGAATTGCCCTGAGACTTATGTTTTAATTGTGATGAAGTCTTTACCTTGAATTTTTTCAGCTAAAGTATTAGTGCTGTGACAGCATTAATAGGGTTCAGCTGTGTTGCTGGGCTAGATTTGAATGAGTTCAGGAGCAATAGGTGCTGTTGTGTCTTGACAAGCAGTACTTAAATGATTTTTTTAATCAAAGATATTTTAAATTTTGCTTTCTGGCTTGATGTCTTCCATCCTTGTCTAAAGCTTTCATGTTTTGTGTTTTTAACTAAATGTACCTGACTGAAAACAGAAGCCTTGATGTTCCCTTAACAATCACTTATAGCCATTTATTAGGTTGAATTGCAAGCAGCAAATAAAATGCAAGGTGAATTTATTTCTTAACAACCATACACCTTTCTGAAAGGAAGAGTTGTGTCAACAGCCACTGCTATTAGTCATATGCTCAGCTCAACAATGTTCTCAGTTGTGCCTTGAATAGTGCATGCTTTCTAGCAGCAAATGGGGCAGTTCTTCTTCAAGAGAATGTCTAAATCGTTCAAAAAACCTATTACCTCTATAACAGCATGTATGGATAAGATCTGTTAAAAATTGTGCTTATCTTGTGTGTTTCTCCAATTTTCACACTATTAGAGAGGAAGAAAATGAAGCAGTGATTTTCACTTGAAGCAAAAATATTGGAGGATGACTGAATATCACCTTTCTCTGCTAATGCAGTTTTCTTCCTCAATATGTAATTGAATGGGCAAATATGAATGCAGCACAGGTAAAACAAAAAAAGCTCTGGTTTAAAAGAGGATCAACTTTAAAATGATATCAACTTTAAAATCCTACTGTAATTTCAGCAATGGTTTAGGTGATGAGGACTTGAGCTGAGCGTGTTTGTGGCAGTCACTATGAAGGCCCTGGTACCTCATCTGTACTCCTTTTAGTATCCAAGCTAGGATGGTTAAAGTTAGCTTGCAATTGCATGCAATGAAGATTTGCATCTTTGGAACATACCCCAGACTTTAACTTTGAGAAACAGACAACAAACAAACATAGAAGTTCTGTTTTTCTCTAAGAAAACATCAAAAATTCAAAATACCTAAACCAGATACTTTTAAAAATATTTGTAAAACAATGTCCAATTAAGTGATGATCTTTTAAATTTTATCTGACTTTTTTTTTTTTTTTTTGCTTAAGACACGGGACTGCACCAATACTTTTCTGTGGTGAAACTTATACTGCTGGGTATTATAAATATTTACATAGCTAAAAATAATGAGAAGATACAGAGATTAAAAAAAAAAAAATTGCTTCTGCATGTCACAGCTAAGAAGGTATCTTTGAAAACTTAACAATAAGTGTGCATTTTCATCCTATGGAGCCTTTTATAGATTCCAGCACAATAAATGAGCAAAGTCATTCAGTCACTAACAGAAGTCAAAATAAAATTTTAGATAACAAGCATGAGAGTTTGGATGCAACAGATACATTTTGAAAGGTAAAATTTTCACAAAAAAGTATAATATTCTACAGTTTATTAAGCATTATAAAATTTGCTAAGTACTAAGTCATTAGCAATAACTTAAAATATCAGTGTTTATCACCAGTAGCCGATTAAAGAATACTGCAACTAATACAACTCTTTCACGACTGACCACATTAGAAACTTCTCTTTGATTTTGCATAGTAATGCAACCTGTATTACTCTTCTTCCCCATATTTGTCATAGAGGTTCTTAACCAAAACTGAAGTAATTTTCACAGGTTCACATTCCTCTCAGTGGTGAAACTTTTGCAGTGCCTATTCAAACTGAGACACTTACCTGTGCTTGTAATGTATTTTCAGACTAGAGTTAAACACCTAATATCTACCTAAATATCAATACCATTACATGATTGAATATTCAATAATGCAAAGATCCCTTTAAAATTCTTGTGATTAGCTCTTAATTATGCAGATGTAATAAAAGACTTAAGCAGATTATATCCTTATTTATTTTGATAGAACTCACAATTGGTAATTGCAGAACTCTGTTGCTATAGTAACCATTAAATGAGATTGAAAGCAACCTGTCAAACACCAATTTACTGCAATCCTGGCTGTAGTAATTCTGCACTTAAAAACCAGCACTGATTTTCAAAGTTATGCCATCTTAGAGAATGATATCAAGTCTTTAGTCTTCTAGGTGTTTATGAAATTGAGAAATTCTAGAGGGGCTGAGTTTAAAAATATTTTATGGTCCAAACAAAAGGAAAAGTAATACTTTGTCCTCTGCCTTCCCAATTTGAGCAAATGGTTACTGAGGTTCAGGCTTCTAATTATGCTTCAAAATTGGAGGTAAATTCAGGTTTGCTTTGATCCCATTTAAAAGATATCAATACGCCTTTGCTTCAGAAGCACTACAGACTGCCTGGGCAGGACTTCCAACTGTGTTTAAAAATGACATTTAGCAGTGCTGGCCAAAAATTTCAGTTTCTGTCTCCTTAGAACTTGATAGTCCTGTGTTTTGATGTGACAAATGTTGTGCTTTTGACCCTCAATGATCTGAAGAGCATCTAGATGTGCTGTCAATGGAATACAACTCAGTTGAGCGCAAAGCTTGGAAATATTTGATTCTGTACAACTCTACAGCCTTCCAGTGTGTTTTGTGACTAGGAGATGATGTTGACAGGGTGAGTAAGATGCTGAAAATTAATAAGCCCTAACTCACAAGCCTCATTATGAATTTTTGGTTTTGATTTTATTTTTTTTTAGGCTTTATTGGCAAGAATAAACAGTATCATTGGGGAAAAGTTGGTTTATGTCATCAGATATAGTCATATGCCTTTCTTTTCTCTCCTTTTAACGTAGTACAATTGACAGTTTTCTTCCCTTCTTTCAGAGGAGGACATCAGCCTGCTGCTTTCATCCTCCTCACTTTTCAGCCCCCTGACCTACACCCTTGTGTGATAGTCCCACTTTGTTTTCTCATTCTTTTCCCCATTTACCCGGTACCCTCCTGCATTCACCTTGCCAAGGGTGATGTTCACTGTCTTGCTTTGCTTCTCTTTCTTCAGCAGTTGTTACGATGGCATTTCTAGAGCAGGCACTGTGGAAGGAATGGCCAGGGCAAGGACTAAAAGAGTTATCTGGCTCTCAGAAGTGGCCAGATTCTTTCTGTTGAAAGAATCATTTGAAGTTGTTTACAATCAGAATACTGAGAAAAAAATACAGCTTTCATGAAGTTTTACTATGTTCCGAAAAAGTTCAAAACTGGGGTAAAACAGCTGTATCTACAAAATACCAGCAGCCTCTATTAATGACTTATGATGAATGTTCCAACATTTTGCTTCTGAAGCACAAAAAGAGGCCAGGAACTTTTGATTGCAAAACAGTGGAATATTTCAAGCAATGGTTTCTTGTTGATATATTTTAATAGAAAAAAGATTTCTGCAAAAGTCATGATATTCTTTCAGAAAAAAGATATCTGACTATAAACACTATGAGTAGCTGCCGGGCTGCTTGAATACTTACAAAACCTTCTGAAGTAGGGCAATAATAATGAGAAGTAGCCAAGTACAGCTTGTGCAGATCAAGATTATAGAAATTCTTAGTTTGTTTAGCTAATTTTTGCGCAGAATTGTAGGTTCTAGAAAAAGGTACATAAGTAAGAAGAAGAAGAAATCACAGAACAGCAAACAAGGGATTTGAATATTTGCATTTATTGTGAGAACAGCTAAGTTGTACTAAACAAAAGAAGGGAAAGAAATCAGGTAAATGCTAATTAATTTTATAGGCTTTTTTATGACCCAGAAATGCTGAGAATGTTAAATTGGTTGATACTGATGATTGCTTTTTAAATGACATTTCACAAAATATAAAAAGGATAATCATGTTGGTTTTCATACCTAAAAGAACTAAGCACAAAGCATTTAAAAAAATTAACTGAAGAGTGATGGCTCTGTTTAAAAATCAAACTATGTACTAAAAATGTGGAAAAATAGAAAGGAAAGAAAGTGAAATTATTTGTTCTATTAAAAGTGAAAAATAAAAGGAAGAGAATTAAAAAACTAGAATGATGACAAATAATAGAAATAACTAAGCAAGTTAAATGTTACCTTATTCCTTGATCTGGAAACCTCTCCATCTTTACAGATTGAATTTGATTTGTGATATTGAAGCAGTGCAGGCTTGTATAACTTTTTGTTCTTCTTCGCCATTATCTGATGATGTCTATTTGTCAGATTTCTGTTGTGCATTATTTTTTCTTTCATATTTTTCTTCTGATTTCTCCTTATGGTTTCTTTATATACAGAAATATATACTATACTCCATATAGAGACCACATATATTTTTGCATATACAATTTATTTGTCTGTGTAGATGTCAATGTAATATTATATATGGAAATTAAATATAAATGTGTATATAGATATGATTTTTCTCTGTATGTTACATACACAGATATTTCGGCTGTAATTTGAAGTCATTCAATCATTTATATTTTACCTTAATCTGATGCTCTTGTCTTTGTTCTGGGATCTTTCCTGGGTGACCATTTCCAATGAGTCACAATAAAACTGATATTTGGCTAGATTATTCTAGAATTTTTTTAGCCAAATAGACATTGTGATGTTCCTGTAGGTATCAAGTCTGTAATGGTTGTTGTTAAAGGCAAATTAAAATTTGTCATGTGCATTTGCACAACTGTGATTTGCTTCTCTATTGTTTGTAACTCCTTGGTCAAGAGATGAAAAATATGTTTTGTTCAAAAACTGCTAGCTAAATAATTTCTTGGTTTAAGTCTGGACAGGAGAGTGCCAAATTGACACAGGTATTTTAAAAGTCTATGGATTTATATGCAGTAACATTTTTTTTTACTCTACAAACTTAGTGATCCCTAGGACACATTTGAGAACAATGAGGTTTCAAGGCTAGAAAGCAGTGTGGACTTAGAAGTGACAGATCAATAATTTATTTATGGCTAATTGGAGGCAGAAGCCAGGGGCTCTGCTGTGGAAGGGCAGTGTGAAGGAAATCAGGCACTAATGGCCTTTGCCACCTCCCTGCAGAGCGTGTACTGTGCCTGTCAATCACCTCTCTACGTGCAACTGCCCAAATAAAGTCGCCCTACTAAATTTCATCTGGTGATTTTAGAAAACCTGCTGTGAGCTTCTGTTCTTGAATGACAGAAGTAAAAACAGGACTCAGGGCACAAGCTCAAAGCAAACTGTATCTCTTGACTTTTCTAGCTGCTTCTTTCATTGACCTTTTGGGGAACTTTTAGCTAACTAATATTTTTAGAAGTCTTAACTCCTATGCAAGGAGAAGAGGATAGTGATTGGTTTTGCTATAGGAATATATAAAGATCTTAATGCAAAAAACTTGCTTATGGTTTAGCCATGTTATTGATTAATAACAAAATACCCACCTAGAGAAATAAACTGAAATTGTAAATAGAAATGGTAATATTTCACCTTTTAAAAAGCCATCATATGTCACACTTTTAAAGGCAATTAACATTTAAAAATAATAAAAGACTAATCCTTGCCATTGTACAATTATTCTATTTACTTTAAAATAAACTCATTAGAAAGATAATTTTCTCTTACAAACCTGAACAGAAATTGAGGAGATTTATTCAAAGGTTTACCCATTCTGTGAAGTAACTTTGTCCTAGAATGTGGCATGGTTTAATACCAGTCTTGCCCCAGTGGGTCTCATTGATCTTTATTCTGTTCATGGGAAAACAGTGAACTCAATATATTGACTTTTTAATTTGAAAAATCAAAGTGATTGTTCACGTTGCATTTTGAGTTGGTTCTTTTAGCTTGTGCTTTAATTACCAACAAAGGGAACTTGACAAAATTGTTGTAATACATATATACCACAATGCACACTGTTTATATGAATGTATTTTGGAGCACAGTCTTACATGTCTCACTTAGAAACACTAGGCAGTGTATTTGATGTAGGCAGTATGGTTCCCTTGGCTCCCTTGATTTTGAGGGAAGCTCGCTGGAAAAAAAAAGGGCACCAGCTATTTATGAAATGTTCATTACCATACAAACCTTATCTTTGGCTGACTCTATTACTCCTGAAAGGCTAAACCACACAAATAAACAATGAAAACAACAATGATTTTAAATAATTTCTTACATCTAGATACCAGGTTGGACCCACAGGGATAGTGTCCATCCATCTTCTATTTCTTATTAGTCTTATTTCTGTTTTAGTCATTATCATTTTCCATTTAAAATATGATATATTTTACTTGTCATTTAGCAATGTGCCAGCATCTGGCATGAGGCCT